TCTGGTCACCCTACTGTTGTCCCCTACTGATGTGTACTTAAACGTTAAATGGAATAAAATCATAGGGGAGACCTCAGGTCACCTAACGTAATCCATAAATGTTATACGCTTATATATCATATATCGCATAAAATTGCAGTTAATGTTGCTCAGCACCCACCCTCCATCCCCTCTATCTTTTCTTATACCCATCAGATGGTTATTCCTTTTAAAAAGTTGTTTGTTTTACACTTTAAAGGCTTCACAGTATTACGATTTATTCTATTTTCACTTTACGTATGCAACGCACTACATTTTGTAGCGGAGTAAACAGGCCCGATAGTCGTGAACTGAGCAGGGGACCTCAGGGCCTAGTTCAGCGTACGTTTTATCCTTCTGCCCATGTTCAATCTAAAACCGGAAGTACGAGTTCGTAAATTTGAAATCTCGATCCCGACTCAAATTTGACATCGGAAAGAAAAAAATTTGTTTTTCTCAATTTTATTTTTTTTCTGAAAATTCAAAAACTTGAGCGGCGGGTTTGTAAACCTAAAAATAAAAAAATGCTGGCCTAAACCCTAATCTATGTTAATTTGTTCTCAACTTATATTCATATCAGATGTATTTAAAAAAAAGATTAAAGCAACATTTTTTAAGTAAATAGCGGAGTAGACCCCGTAAGATTGATTAAAATGTGTAAGTCAATTATAAGTTTGTTACACAGGAAGTATTTGGAGAAGTCTTCTCGACTGAAAAAAGTCATGCTTATAATTTTGAGGAAACATTTCTGAGTGCTCTCATAATCTTAGTTCTTTCAAACAAATCATATGCTGCATATCTAAGAGCTTAAAATTTATCAGAATATCTTGGGACGTAATTGTTGGCCATGTGTTGTAAAAGGAAAATAAGTATTTAAAACTACGGATTATACAAGAAGGGTGTAGATGAATTACAAATAGAAAAACTTAGTCTTAGTATATTTGGTTGACAATTTTAGGTATCCACTTGATCTTGGTATATGTATGTCATTATGAACACTTCGCCACTTCACCAGACTGTACTTTACACCCTTTACGAATCTGAGAGTATTGTTTATTCAAATAAAAAAAATTGTGTTATCAAATTCACTTAAGATTTCTTTCAAGAATATTGTTTTCCAACTTTGACACATATTATAACTGAAGATCAGTCATCTTTCCAAATTCCAAGTTTGTTGCCATCAGGAATATCTCTTATGTGGCTACTTGCAAGCAAACTATAATTTGATAGATATCAGCATATGTTGAAAAATTTTATCCCCTCCTCTATCTCTACCCGTCTCTTTTCTATATGTTTTATCGTTAGGATAAAATCAAGGGTTAGCACTAACAACTATAATTTGTTTAATATTATATCATGTGGCACGTCAAATCTTGAAATCTTCAATGTTTTTTATTCAAACTGAACTAAAAATACTCTTATTCAATAAAATGTGATTAAACATTACATGATGACCTTAGATGTCTCAGTACATAAAAAGCAAGAGTCATGATGAAATATCAGCTGATTTTTTTTTCTAAATTTATGCAGGTTTACTTATAAAACTAGAAAAGATTCAAACATCAAGCAATCAAAACATTTGGAAGTATATCAAAAGTAGAAAAAAGCAAGAGTGAAGCTGCTTATTTAAAACTGACGCCCACTCGATGTTGAATATTACAGACTAATGACTTTTTTTTTAAATTTTGGTATCAAAGATCATACAGTAATTGGATTTTTATATAATAAGAAGATACTGTATGAGCTTCAATAAGGGTTTCCGTGATGGGAAGGTCGTTGGTTTGGGTCACGGCCGCGACTTTCCAAAGTCGATGAAAAATTAAGCAACATTTTACCAGGCATTCGGCACTTGAAGTGAAACTTGTGGCTTCTCTAATTAAGGCCTTAAAAACTGAGGCCCAGTGCCTCAATAGGCACTAGTACGAAAATGAGTCCTCACTGCGGAATTGTCTTGAGCACCTAGTAAAGGTTTTAATTTGAAGACCTTCACCGGTATACTTATATGTAGAATGATAAATTTTCTAAGGGGTCGTAAAACAACAATCAATCGATTGTTCTATCAGTCAGGGTTTTAATATTAATTTTACATTAGCAAATGTTTATTATCCTCTCCGCTCCTCTTGAAAAGCCGGAGGATATATAGTGATCTGGATGTCCGTCCGTCTATACTTACGTCAATCTGTCTGTTACGCTTTGGGTAACCCATCTCTTATCTTCTTTTTCCACTGAATTATTTCTAAAAAGAACCCAAACTTTCACATAATCTTTCTTACAATTGTAATTGCGCACCTGTCTTTTCACTTTCTAATCCGAAACATATCTTGGGGTTCGCATGGCAAAATATGGATACTACCATTCTTCCAATAACATTGAAGGCTACCTATCTCTTATTCGCAACTCCTCTTATACGACTAAGTTAAATTTAATGCTATGTGGCAACGCACTTTGAAAAAATTACGCACTTTGAAAAAATTTTTCAAAGTGCGTTAATTTTTGGGACCAGGTTAACGCACTTTGAAAAAAAAATTTTTTTTTCAAAGTGCGTTAATATCGACCATATTAACGCACTTTGAAAAAAAATTCTGCATGGCTTAGTCAATATTCCGACAAATCTCAGGTATGATAAATTATCATTTGAACCTGATTTGATACTTTTTGTCCCCTGCTTGAAAAGTGGGGGATATTAATTTGGGTCTATCTGTCCGTCCGTCCGTCTAGCTGTCCGTCCATCCGTCTTTCTGTAACGCTTTCGTTTCCACACGATATCTCGACAACCCTTTGAGCTTTTGCAATGAAATTTAACATAACAGAATCCTTGTGGCCTTAGGAAGACCCCTTTTGAATTTGGGGTCAAAAGGTCAAGATTCAAGGGCGTAAAGAACTACGAAGGATAGTATTATTCTTCCGCCTATCTCTAAGTCAATTCTCAAAAGTTAACATATTGGAATGATTCTCAAAATTTTTATAGATATTCATATGAATTTTCATAAAACTTTACTTATTTGGGATACCAAAGAGAGATAACTCTATAATTTTGGCAAAACTTGTGTTTTTCACTATAGAAATCAACGGAAAACTGAAAATATTTTTAAAACATCTCCCCCCCCCCCCCCGCGAAACAAAAAATCCTTGTTACAGGTAATATGGACTGTTATTTAACAAAGTCGTACCAAAGCTTTTTGTGTTTCACCGCGGAGGGTCGGGGACATGTGTTTATAGACAAAACACTAAAAAAAAATGCTTATTTTCACCAATTTTAAAGCTATTTAAAACTAAATAATTGCATTTTATTAATTTATATATGCTTTATTTATTTGCGTAAAACATGAGAAAAGGTATTAGATACATGTTATCATATTTATGATTATTTCGAAATATGGCGATTCTTGAAAGTTCATCACTATATCCCATCATACGTTGCGAGGGGATAATACTGTTGTCTATTTCTAAAATATAAGTCTAATTCCTTTTGTTTCATGAAAAATTTTTCAAAGTGCGTTAAATGTTTACATGGTGTAAAATTATGATGTACAGTCTTAACGCACTTTGAAAAAATTTTTCAAAGTGCGTTGATTTTGTCCCAAATTCAACGCACTTTGAAAAAATTTTTCAAAGTGCGTTAACCTGGTCCCAAAAATTAACGCACTTTGAAAAATTTTTTCAAAGTGCGTAATTTTTCAAAGTGCGTTGTAACAATGCTATTTTCACAGATTCTTTATTACATAATGCCATTGAACACTTTTATTTTATATTTTGATCTGACACTTATTTAAAGTCTCCAAAAGCAAGAGATGGACTTCACCAATATAATTATATTTGAGTTGGGGGTGACATTTAAGTAGGTAAGTGCTCACAGTACCTCTAGTTCTTCTTGTTTCAATGCTCTATTATGATAAGTCAAACTATCGAATAAACCAGAAATATATTCTCCTTTAGATGTTTCTCTTATCAGAGAGGCGTTCAACCTTAAGCTAATTAAGTGTTGTAATATTCAAAATACTTCCTCGTCGAAGTACATATATACACAAAAAGTTAAGGAAAATGATTTCATTTTGATTTTTGGATACTTTGAAAGATGCATACATTTAGTCAACATAAACATACTTTTTTATTTGAAAGATGATTCCGACTTTAGTTCTCTGTGTCCTGTTTTACAAACCCGTGACTGGATTCTGTCCTGAGCCGTGTTACTGTGCAAATTATTATGGGCCTTATACTGGGATATTTATAAACTGCTCTAGCAAAGCATTAACAGAGATACCTGCCAACTTCCCAAAAGACACTTGTCAACTGTAAGTAAATAAAAGTAAGCATGTCTTCAGATTTAGCTATACTGTGGGGATTTTAAGATGTTCGTATCGACTTAATATTAAACGATTGGAAAGGAATGCATAATCAGTAAATTAAATATTATTTAAGAAATAAGGTATCATTTTTAAACATCTATCGGGCTATAAATACGGGTCGGTCACGAGATTAAATTCCATAAAGCCCGAAGGGCTTTATGGTGAATTTAATCTCGTACCGACCCGTATTTATAGCCGGATAGATGTTTAAAAATGATACCTTATTACTTATATTTACATTTGTGACTAATTCATACTTTATATTTGCCTAATTGTGACTTTTAACGTGTGAAATGCATTATTTTTTCAAACCCAACGGCATGTATATAATTCACTGAACGCGCGTCGACCCTTTATTACGTCACTAAGAAATTACGTCAAACGATTATCCATACGCACATCTATGACCTCTTGACCCCATACCTGTATTTATACAGTTATAGATACGCATTCCTTTCAGTAGTGTTATATAAAGGAAAACATTTGCAAATGTAAATATAAAGAAATGGTTAACGTTTATTTCTCCTAAGTTTATATCATTTTTTCGCTGTGGTCTGCTGTGCGTTAAAATGTAAACATTTTCAGATTCTTCTATATAGCCCCTGAACCGATCCAGCCACTTTTGGCATAGACTGCTATAGGCGAAGGAGAGTAACATTGTAAAATTGAAGGGTCCACTGGGTTTAAGGGGTGGGTCTAAAATTTTAAAAAAATCTTCTTTACACCTGCACATTTAGCAGTAAATCTCTTGACATCATTGCGAAATTTTGCATCAAGACATCTTCCAAAAACTTTGAAATTCATGGCCCAGGTTAGGGGTTCCGGTGCTAAGACACGGCTCTGATGGTTCTATATTGCAATTGAATTAACTATTTGAAAATCTTCCCCTCTGCTCCTGTGTATTAAGCAAACAAACTAAATACAAAGTTATGAAGAGCAAGGGTTTCATGGTCCTTGGTATAATATAGGTTTGGCATACCTACACGTTAAGAAGAGAAGTAATTCGAAAAGCAAGTGGTGCATTTTGGCTTTGTCAATATTGACAGCATCTATTGTAATTGAAATTGCTCAAAATTGTTCGCTCAATTTTACATAAAATGTATTATGTCACAGCTGCTGACTCCTCCGAAATAAAAATTTTCATTCATGTATTCATGTACTTTTCAGTTGGGACATCTATTATACGCATATAAATAGACATGAGCTTTGAAAAATGCAGAATTTAACAACATATATTTTTACATTAATGGTGAAAAATATATTTTGAAAGTCTTGATATGTAGAAATATTATTTGGTGCTATATTCATGTATATATATACTTCTCATAAGTTGACTCACTGGAAAAATGCATATGTAAGAGAAAAAATCGTTTCTAATAAACTTTGCATTTTTTTCTATTCCACACCTGTAATCTTGACTTCATAATATATCATACACTTTTTGAAAACAGCATTCCCATCCACTACGTATATCTCACATTAATAAATAATACACAACATTCCAAACAGCTGAAATTGTTGAGACCCTTTTTTTCAACGACTGTAAGGTAAAAGAAAAAAAGTAAAGTTTGTGTTAAATTTAAACTTATAAAACTCAATAAAATAAGTAAAATTAGTATATTCACTAAGTTTGTTGTGTTTTGTCAGCTGCAAACTTGTAATCATGTACACTCAATAAACTAGTTGCAGAAGACCTTTTAAATTATCTTAATTAATAGAAATAAAAAAGCCTATCTTAACATTAATGAATGCGTGTGATTTTTGTCTTAACTTATTTTAGATACCTTTCTGGCAACAACATATCTACGATTCAGGGAAATGCTTTTAATGGTCTGTCAAATATTCGGGACCTGTAAGTATATCTATGCCCTCCATTTATCTTATGCTAGACAAATGCCTGTATTGTAAAGAATGTGTGAATTGTAAAGAATATATATATATATATATATATATGTAAGACTCCAAGGTCCGATGGTGACGCCAAAGTCCGATGGTCTCGCCAAACCCCGATGGCTCGTTGTCTTAATGGACGCCAAAGTCCGATGGTCATGCCAAAGGCCGATGGCTCGTTTCCTATGAGACGCGCGACGCTAAAGTACGATTGTCTGACACGCCAAAGTCCGACGGTGCGGAGGAACAATTAACGTTTATGACATCATAATAATCCGACGTCATGACGTTGTTCTGCATTCAAAATCCGTTGATTCAGTATTCTTCACGCATACATTTTTACTGATATTGGTTTTTGGTTTCGCCCAACAGAGGTAAATTAGGGTTAGTTCTCGTACACCATTCGGGTGATAAGGGTTAGTCCTTGAACACTAATGTGTTTCTTCGAACCTACCCGGGAGATTTTAGGGTTAGTCCTCGCACACTATTGGACTGATTTAGATTAGTCCTGCACCCATCTATGATGTCAAGGTTAGAGTTGATACTCATTGCTCCACTGACAAGTCTTAGTTTCGCACCTATATCCAGAAGACGAGAGTTAGTCTCTGTATTTATTATATTTTGCATTTATTTATTGGCATGGCGTGGCATCGCATTTTAGCGCAGTAGTACTATGACGTCATAAACGTAAATTGATTTCTGCGCCATCGGATTTTGGCGTGTCAAACTATCGAGATTTGGCGCAGAACATCGGACTTTGGCGAGACCATTGGACTTTGGAGTCCCATCGCACTTTGGAGTCCTCTCTCTCTCTCTCTCTCTCTCTCTCTCTCTCTCTCTCTAAACGATATATAAATATATAACAAAAAGTCTCTCTCTCTCTCTCTCTCTATATATATATATATATATATATATATATATATATATATATATATATATATATAAAACATTTTTGAATAAGGTTTCCTATTATATCACAAATGTAATAAAGTTCGCTATAAACCCTGAAAAATGCCGAGTCACGCCGGAAACAGTTATGTCACCCACGACAGAAACAGTTATGTCATCCTTTCGATCACATTCACGTGTTTTTACGTTAGGCATTTTAGTTCGGGATCGAGATGTTATGACGTCGGTTGCAAAGCAAGAGTAAACAACACAGCGTATTTCTAAAACGTCAAGAAGGCATTTTTGGATGATTGTGTACATTTTAACGATTTTGAATGATTTTAAATTTTCTTTTGATTTTAAAAATGTCATATAACATATACCACATGGCTTCTCGCGCGACTATACCAGAATATTTGACCCGAGGTGACAGGAAAGCCCTGGAGTGTTATGTCACCCGATGATGCCGAAGGTATAATATATACTTACAGGGGTGGCGGAATCCAATTGTCATTGGATTCTCGTTGAGAAAATTGAAATTTCCTCAACGACAGAGTGATATAAGTTATTTCATTATTGTTTTAATTGATATTTCGAAAATCTGCTATTAAAATTATCATCTCTTATATGTAAAGTAACTTTGTCGTACATGCACTATTTATTGTTGTCTAAAATACAAAGGCGTCAACTGAATAAGTTCGTTGTCGCCATATGTTTTATAAATTAGTAATGTTCTTTAATTAAGAATCTAAATTGATTACGAGATTGATACTAACAGAGATGAAAATCAAACCAAAGGTAAGCAAATATATTTTGAAGATTAAAGTTGAAAATCAGAAGATTGCCACACTATGTAACCAAAGAACCATCGCGCATTTGATAGGCATTTCGCCTACTTTAATAGTGATTTCTAAAGTAAATTGTTTAACCAACAGTTTGTCATACAATCTTAGTTTATATATTTACAAACCAAATCATACTAAACTGATATTTAAATCTTAATAATTCCATCATAAGATAACTATAAAAATCATACAGTCTGCATAGAATGTATAGTAAATATTGATGTATCAACCTCAACGATGACAAACAGTTGCCAAAGACCATCCTTAACCGAAAAAAAAAAAATCTGAATAATATTATTTAGATAAAACTGCACTTCATTGCATTAAGATAATTTGAGTTAAAGGTGGTCTTCATATTGAAAAAGATGAAAATATGAATCCAATTTTTTTTCTCATGAAAAATATGGAGAAAACGAATATTAATCAAGCTGAAAAGTTCATTAAACAATAAAAATGCGAACAGAACAAACCTCCAAAATAGAAACCAATTGGCATACTTGGGAATGCATTTAATTGTCTACAAAGACTATTGATTCTGTAAGTACAGAATTTCTAACGTAGGTTACTGCACATGAATCATTTAAACCAATCTTTTATCACTGTTTAGAATTCGGAAATCCCTCATTTGAGTTCTTCATGTTATGAATGAATTCCCATATTCGAAATGATCTTTCAGACATTAATATGGGAACAGTCTAACTCATCAATTAAAAAGGGCATTGCCACAGTTTCATCTAAAAATATTAAATTCCCCATTTTTAAATACTTAACAAAGATATTTTTAATAATCATGAAAAAGTTGACTTTGTCGAGTAATAGAGATAGATCTTTAGCTCCAAACCATCGTTATGTAAAACAAAGTCCATGTCATGTGTTTGTATACATAGGCGAGATATATACTACTAGGTGTTCGTTTAAGGTGGAATGCCACACCAATTTTTTATTTTATAGATCTTTGAGTCTTCCTTTTTAAACAATGTTTCAGCACTGAAAGGTCGATATTAGCTCTTAATTATTTCAGATTAATTTTTGTGTATTTTTTTAAAGAAAATGAAAAAAAAATATTTACATCAAAATAATTTGCTTTCTTGTAAAATTTTTGCTGTAAATGAATGCATCACATGAATACCTAAGAAAATATGTAAAGAAAGTCTGGTTAGACTTTTTAATTTTTTTTAAAAAATTATTTTATGAAAATAAAACACATTTTTTGTGAATATTTTTTAAACCTATGGTTAAAAACACCATAAAACTAGTCACAACTAAGGACAACATGTTTGTCAATCATATTTTTAAAAGAAATTGAAACGAAATTGAGAAATT